CATGACCCTTGCTGTGCACCGGGGCAGGCCGCGCCCGATGCGCGTCCAAGTGCACAGGACACATTCACAGCTGAGAGCTTGCCTGTCCCGCCCTGCGACAGCCAGCCCTACCCAGCGAGTCCATAGCCTGCCTGTTCTGCTCTGCTGGGCTAAGGCTCAGCAAGGGCACCCGCTCGCTTCGGGGTTTCTGAACATGCTTGTTTGGTGTTTGTGAGGTCAGTTTCAATTCTCTATGGCTTTGGCTTCACCCCTTTGAAGGCTGGAACTAGCAGGGGGTTGGTGTGTACCGCAGGGCTATGACCCCCAGCCCCCTGAATCTATACCCTGGCCTTTTTAATCTAAAGCCCTTTCAGAATAACATGAGGGAAGCATGTGCCCTGGAATTCGGGTCATTGCCGGCCCTTCCCAAACAGTCTTCACAGAGAATCTGCTCACCCCAGCCCTTGGCTGCCTGACCCATGGTTTGTGCCCTGTGATACCTGAGCCACAGCTTATTGGAGCAATGTGAGTCATGTGACCCTGGACACATGCTCTGGGAACACCAATCAGAGGCTGGCCAGCATTTTTCCGGCAGCCCTATAGAAAGATAAGCTCCTCCTAGGATCACATTTTTTCTCCTGAGAATTTGATCTGAAACACATGGGAAGAGTTTGCAGCTATGCAATCAGAGGTGAAGCAAGACGAAGGAAAGGGCCGGGGGGCTGAAAAGGGCCACGTGTAAACCGAAGCGGCAGAGAAGCGGGAGCCCTGAGCCGACAGAGCAAGCTGCTGGCAGAGGGGAGCACGGGGCAGCTGTGCGGTCACAGGCGCCGGGGAGGGACTTCGGTCCCAGGCGCACACTGGCCTGGGTTCCACGAGCAGGTTTCCAGCCCAGGGGTCTGTCAACCTGTTACCAGCCCCCATAGCCACGAGGGGCCCTGTGAGGGGCCGTGTTTCCATCACCATCACGTTTGACCAAAATGGAAAGAGAGGAGGGCCGAGGGAGGAAGGTAAAGCAAAAGGCCCGGAATAAAGGCAGGAAAGTGGCTTCTGTTCGCCGCCCCCCCAGTATAAATATCCCCCATAGAAATTGTTTGGGGGCATGTTTAACATGACCTCATTCCATTTCCAGTGACGCTGTCCCTTCCGACTGGTCTGTGAAAGGAGCGACCCGCCCGACCTGTGAGGAAGGTAGGCGCCTTTTCCGTGAGCTGGGGAGCCGGGGCCAGCGGGCAGTGGCTCCCACGGGATCAGGTGTGTGTGCATGTTTAAACCCAATCTTTTAAGTGCTCACTCCTAGAGTATGGCCAGGCTGTAAGAACCCAGAGGAACTAAAACGCAGCTCTTGAAGATGGCTGTCCTGCTGGGATTACGGGACATTTGCAAAACGCGATGGCGTCCATCCTGGGAGGAAAGTGCTTTTTGTGAAAACCACTTATGAAGGGAGTAACGCTCCGATGAAGGCAGCGGTCACTTCATGGCCGCAGAGGACGGGTGTTCTCCGGGCTGTGCTAAGGGAGCACAGGTCACGGTGGCATGCCGGGGAGGGTCAGGCTGCACCCTCAGGTGTGTGCACACGCTGACGACAGGGATGCGGTCAGTGAGATTTACTCACACACACCTCCCTGAAAATGGGGGTCTACGGGGAGGCTCAGCAACAATTGCTCCACGGGAATTAGCTCTTCGGGAGAGAGCTCCCAACTCACTGGGGTGTGCCTCGCTGAGCAGTGAGGAGAACCACAGCAGCAAGGAGCAAAGGAGTGTCCCGTCACTTCCCTTTAGTGGCAGATAATCAGGACCTCGTGTGCCCTCGGTGTAGGGCACAATGAGGAGAAAGACCCCACACTGGAAATAAAGGATGGTGTTCGAAGGCAAAGGTCCACCCTGGGACACCCACAGCTCCCAAGCTCCCTGTCTGTGTGTGGGGAAAACACGCCATATTCAAAGAAAGTTCAAGCTGGCAGAAAGAAACTTGAGCAACCCAAGCCCGAGTCCCTTGCTTAACAACAGGGAGGGGGGAAGATGAGGCACAGAGACCTTTAGGCAAAGCTGAACGTTGCTTCTGAGTGTAGGGGGCAGAGGTCATGAAGAATGGCATTCTGTCTACAGCACTGAGCACATTAGGACAAATATTGTGAGAAAAGTCATGAAATACAGGCGATGCCGGGGCGTGAAGAGGCCCAGGTAAACACGCAACGCTCGCCAGTGGCTCCCAGCAAAACCCAGTGAGCATGTTTGCTTGTCGGGCTTCTGCTTGAAAACCTGTGTCTCCAACTAGTTTTTGTGGGTTCCGTGTGCCCTGTCAACAGCAGCGTCTGTGTCACAGGAAGTGACTTAGAAATGCAGAATCTTGGGCCCCCAGCTGGCTCACAGCCTGGCCCACTGCAGGGTCCCCAGGTGGTCCGTGTGCAGGGGTGACAGCTCCTACCTGTCACTGGCATGGCTCTTTCTCAGGAGAAGAAGGTGCCCATCCCACCAGATACAGTTCAGCAACAAGAAAGACTCCCACACTGGATTTTTGTTGGCGTTGGTATGAGTGTCCTCGAGCTGCTTAATGTTACCACAAATGTGTTACCACAAATGTGGTGGCTTAGAACAGTAGGAATTTATGCTTTCATAGTTCTGGAGACTAGGGTCCCAAATCGAGGTGCCAGCAGGGCCGTGCTCCTTCTAGGGCTCTAGAGAGAGCATTCTTCCGGCCTCTTCCAGCCTCTGCTGGCGGCTCCTGGGGTCCCTTGGTCTGTGGCTGTGTCCCTCCAATCTCTGTCTCTGTCTTTTCTGCCTTACTCTTACGTGGACCCTCGTCATTGGGCTTAGGGCCTGCCTGGACAATCCAGGATGACTTTATCTCGGATTCTTAACTACATCTGCAAAGACCCTTTTTCCAAATGAGGTGACAGTCACAGGCTCTGGGTGATGCTTTGGGGGGCCCTGCTCAGCTCACTACTGCTTTATGGGGATCCGTGACAGAGACAGTCTCCAAGATTTGAGGACCTGTCACAAGAGAAGAGAAAGGGCTGGGTACCCCATTGCTGAAGATGACTTTTAGCCCTTAGGGTCCCACGGTTTGTTTTAATTCGGTCAACAAGGGTCCTGGCAGGCTTTCATCGTCAGAGGGAAGCAGAGAGAGGAGAGAGGCACGCCTGTGCAGTCTCCCTGGGTGCTCGTTGTGGGGAGCAGAGTGGGCAGTGAGTTAATTGAGGTTAGCCTGAGAGCCCTGCACCCTGGCAATGATGTGAAAACATCGCTGGCTGGAGGAGTCGGTCGGAAATGTATCTCCTTCTGTCAGCAACGCATTCCCCTCTTGGCCTCTCTATCTCCCACCCCTCTCCCTTGCAGCCCCTGCCTCCTGACGGCTGGGTGTCCGGCCACTCCCGGGCGGGCCAGCTCCAGCCCCCTCCAGCCCCCCTCCCCGTGCCGACCAAGGACCCGGCCTGTCAGGTTGTCCAGATGCAGGTCTCCGTGCTAATTAGGGGCATTATCACTTTGCCAAGAAGGAGCACGGACCCCGGGAAAGGCCCGTGCTAAGTGTCGGGGACATCAGGGAAGCTGACTGCAGGCGGTTGAACCCTTGCGTTTGCCTGACAGACTGAACGCTCCACCGCCCCTGTGCTGGGACCAGAGCGGCATCGCCTGCCCCGCTCCGCGTCCCCTGACCGTGGTTAGGGGGTGGCGCCCACCCAAGGGATGCAGATTTTCCTTTTGAATTGTGGTAACATACATGAAAGGCACCGTTTTCACCAGTTTCATGGGGCACATTCGTGTTGTTGCACAACCATCACCATCATCATCATCATCCACTTCTAGAACTCTTTTCACCGTGTGACGCTGCCACTTGGTCCCCATTAAATGACTCCTTTCCCCCACCTCCAGCCGCTGGCAACCTCTCTTCTGCTTTCTGTCTCTATAAATCTGACTACTCTCGGTGCCTCATACAAGTGGGGTCCTATGGCAATATTTGTCTTTTATTTGCCCAGCATATGTCACTTAGCATGATGTCCTCAAGGTTCATCCATGCTGTAGCATGTGTCAGAATCTCCTTCTCTTAAAAGCCAAACAATAATGATCCCATTGTGTTTAAAGAAAATACCACATTTTATTGACCCATTCATTCCTCAGTGGACATTACGGTTGCTTAGGGCACGGATTTTTTAAAAGTAAATATTCACTTTAAATTCTGAAGTCACTCCAGCAGGAGGAAAGAAAACCCTTAATAGCCCAAAACTTGGTAGCGCGTGAAACTAAGGCCATCGCGGAGACACACTGGTGGCAGCTCAGTACATTTGGGAAATGAAAAGAAATCACCTTTTACATAAGCGAAAAGCCCACAACTTTTCCAGAATGAGAGACAATAGGAGCGCTCTGGAAACCCAATAGTTCTGTCAAAAGCTGGCTGAGTTACATCTTTGCACCAAAGAGGCAAAGGACAGTGGAATTCTCTCGGCCATTCAGATGAGACTGAATGATTTGGAGGGGGCTTTGGGAATGAGGAATTGTGCCTCACAGCCTCAGGTCAGGTGTGCAGGTGGGGGAGGGGCAGGCAGTGGTTTGCCAGAGTTTCCAAGATTCAGGGAAGCGGAGGGCCTCCCTGTAGGGGCCTCAGGGACCTGGCTGTCCCCAGGTACGTGCTGTGAGAGACGCTGTTTTAGGTATTAAGTAGCAGGTATACTGCCGTATTATTGTAGTCTCTGAAAATTGCTTTGAAGCATTTTCCCAAGGAAAAAGAACATCATACATGGTACTTACTTTCCTGACAGGTAATTCGTATTTCTCAATTTTACCTGTCAAAAATTTTACCTGTGTGTTTTGAAAATCTTGAGTTACTAAATTTATAGTTGATTAGATGATGGGTAAAAGAAACTTTATTATAGAAAGAAAGCAAGAGCCCTGGCCGGGTGGCTCAGTTGGTTGGAGTGTCATCTCATACACCAAAAGGTTGCAGAGTTGAATCCTGGTTTATGGGTTCCGTCCCCAGTCAGGGCGTGTACAGGAGGCAACTGATAGATGTTTCTCTCTCTCTCTTTCTCCTTTCCTCTCTCTCTAAAATCAGTGGACATCCTTGCGCAGGGGCCATGTTAATCTTCCTGTATTGTTCCAATTTTAGTATATGTGCTGCCAAAGCAAGCATGGGGAAATGCAAATTGAAACCACAGTGAGATATCACCTCACATCAATCAGAATGGCCATCATTAGTAAATCAACAAACAACACGTGCTGGCAAGGATGTAGAGAAAAAGGAACCCTAGTGCACTGTTCGTGGGAATACAGACTGGTGCAGCCACTGTGGAAAACAGTATGGAATTTCCTCAAAAAAATAAAAATGGAACTGTCTTCTGACCCAGCAATTCCACTGTTTGGAATATACCCTAAAAATCCTGAATCACCAATTCAAAAGAACCTATGCACCCATATGTTCATAGCACATAATTTATAATAGCCAAGTGCTGGAAACAGCCTAAGTGCCCATCAGTCAATGAGTGGCTCAAAAAGCTGGTACATTTATACGTCGGAATACTAGGCCGCAGAAAGAAAGACCTACCTTTCATGACAGCATGGATGGAACTGGAGAGCATTATGCTAAATGAAATAAGCCACGTGGCGAAAGACAAATACCATCTGATCTCACCTATAAGTGGAACCTAATGAATGAAACAAAAAAAGAAAACAAGTAAAATAGAACCAGAGGGAGGGAAACAAGGAGCAGACTGACAGCAATCAGAGGGGACGGGGAGGGGAATAAGTGTGGAAAGAAGGGGAAGAGACTAGTCAAGAAACATGCACGAATGACCCATGGACACAGACAACAGGGTGGGGAATGGCTGTGGGAGCGGGGGGATGGGGGAGGTGGGCTGGGTGGAGGAAGGCAAAGGGGAAAAAATTGGGACAACTGTAATGGACAATAATAAAATATTTAATAAAAATAAAAAATAAAATCGATGGACATATCCTTGGGTGAGAATTTTTTTTTTAAAAAAAAGAGAGAACAAGAAATGCTTTTCATTTCTAGAAAAAGAACATCATACATGGTACTTACTTTCCTGATGGGTAATTTGTATTTCTCAATTTTACCTGTGAAAATATATGAGAAGGAAGACTCATAAATGCAGGGCCATGTAGTAACTCAAGTCGCGAGAACTCCCTAGGGTGCACCTGGCTGCATTCCATCGTGGTGAGAGAGACCCCCGGGGTAACGTTGTGCCATGAGCATGGGAGGCATGATGCCCATGTGGCCAGGGTTAGTGGCCAAGAGGGTACTGAGTCACCGTCTGGGGACACTGAACCCAGCTCTGTAGAGTCCCCATGAGGCTACTACCCAGACTGGAACACAAAGCCGGAAAGTACCGCCCCTCCTGCTAGCCCTCCAAGCTGCATTAAATACACAACTAGACAAACCCAGGCAGTGTGCTTTCTGGCATCCAGAACCTTCCAGGATTTAGATTCCCAGAGCTCAGTGCAAGCTTCTCGTTCCTTCTACGTCCTTCCTCACCTACAGAATTGACATACCACCCACTTTGTCCTGACTTTGTTGTTATTCCAGATGAAGTCAGACCTGCCAAAATCTTGGCATTTTTCCCAAACACCAAAGTTCCTAATATTTCTCCACATATGTGAGGCACCTTTCGTGGCAGAATCTGTCCCCAGAGTTCAAAGGGTAGAGAGCGTGAGGTCTCTGAAGCAGTACTGCGACCATTTCACTGGGGTCCAAGCTAGCTCTTTAGAAGACAGCTGCCTGGGACCGGGCAGTGTCCATGCCACGAGCTGTGGCTGTCGGCACCCACTTTTGTCCCTCAAAATAAACCCTCAAAACCAAGTTCCAGTGAGGAATCTTACCTAGAGGGTGAGCCGTCGGTGGTCTTTGCTGGTGGTTGCCTTGAATTACCAGGTTCCAGAGTAAAGGAAGCAGGTCAGTGTTAGGCTGGAGAGTGTCCGCTGTGGACACCAATTTGTCCTTTCCTCCAGGGGGACCACAAAGGCATCTCCACCTACATCTCTCTCCATGGGGCCCGGGTTTCTCAGGACAAATAGGAACCAGATGGAGAGTGTCTGTGTGTTCTCGGTGGAGGGATGGGATGCCTGCCCTGCACTCGCCCTTCCAAAGCGGTCTCTTTTCCTCTGTGACTCGTTGGGAGGCTGAAATGAAGCCTCCACCATATATAATTTTCATTTTCACTCTGCTTCTGCATTTCTCTCTGAAGTCGAGGACCCGGTTCGTAACCACACCATTGCTAGTTGCTAGAAACCATAATGACAATGATAATAATGACAGTTGTGGCTCCCACTTACTGTCCACTTTCTATGTGCCCCTCACTGAACTGTGGGCACTACAGGATTCCAAGGACATGGGGCTAGACCTGAGCTCCCTGCTCTGCCCCATGGGACCTGAGACACGCTGGTGACATTGTGGCGTGAGTCAGCAGTGGGAAAACACAACAGGGCATTTAAAAGTGTTGGTGACGGTCTGGTTGTCATCCCTTGGAAAGCTTGAGTCAAGAAAGGCGTGGACAGCGTGCCGTGCAGTGGATCTGCTCCCGGGAGGCCTGCCTGGTGTGGCTCCCACCCCGCTGCTCACGCCCTGCCTGCCAACACACGCGTTGACGTCTGGTTAGCAAACTTTGTGGCGTACCCCCACATTGGCCCTCAGAGGCTATGTTCTGTCTGGATCTGCCCTTTGGGGGAACAACCAAACCAAAACTAACAGTTAAAAAAAATGAAAGCAGCATGGAGTGGAGGAAAGCCATAACTTACTGAAATCCCCCTCTGCCCCAACTACACGTGTGGCGCCGGGCATGCATCGTGCCTCCCCGCACCCCAGTTCTTCCTCGGAAAAGAGCGGTAAGGACAAGCGAATGAGACAACACCACAGACAGGCACCTAACAAGTAACTTGAAACTACATTTTAAAAATGGGTTCTACTTCAGTTCTCTTTGTAAAGCCTAGAACGCACATTTACTTGTTCACACCAGGAAGCAAGAGGATGCATTTTCTGACCACGACCTGAAGCCCTCATTTAACATGTAATGTGAATCAGCTGCACGCCTTCTGTCCGGATATCACTCATGTCCAGCTCTGAAAACGTCTCCAAAGACAGGGCAGATTTCCTGGGCTCCAGTCAAGCATTGGCCGGTGTCTATGTGCTCCTCCCTGGCCTCGCCCGGACACTGGGCAAAGAGACTCTGTCCAGAGAGTGTTCTGAGGTCAAGTCTATAAACATATTTCCTGTCACCTGACTGGCTCGAGACACTGGGCTCATACTGGGCTTTTTGGTGGCAGCCCCTCGGCCCCTGCCACCACGGTCTCCCTGCCCTACAGCAGCAGACAGAACATTGCCCATTGGAAAGGCCCACGGAAGTTCAACTCTTTTCCACGAAGCTCTGGGCCGACCCTGTCTGACGGCTTTGGAGCCGGCCGCAGAGGGTTCGCTTGGCTGGCTAGGGAGGGACCTCCACAATTAAAAAGGAAAACAAAGTTGTCAAAGGCCGAGCCTGTAGGGTCCGGAGGGATTCCCAAGGGTAGCTAATTGGAAAAACCATTTGCCCCTTTTCTCGTCCCTCCCCCCACCACCGCCCCCAGCCTTATCCGAGAGCAGCCACCCCTATCTGTAAATGGCGACCATGGAAAATGTACCCTGGCGACTTTGTGTGAAAGATAGGCAAGGCTCCTAAAAAATCTTCTCGGAGGCTTATCACCTTCTTCTGGCTCCACAGCGGGCTCGGGCTCCGGGGCTGGAGGAAGCCGCCTGTCTGTGAGCCTAGACAGGGTCTCATCAACAACTGATAAGGCCCTCTGTGAACAAGCAGGCGCTGCAGGCTTACTGGCCTCTCGCATGCCAGAGACATTTGTAGAAAATACACAGGGTCCAATGACCTCCGAGAGGCAGGCTGGGCGAGCCCACAGGGTCGGCCAAGAAGTAGGGCAGCCCTCCCCCAACCTGGGAAAGGAGCAAACCTAGAGGTCACGCATGGCACAGGCCAGGGGACAAATGTCTGGTGATCAGCTGGGGCACCCATGCGCTGGCCATGCTGGTATGCTGAAGGAATTAATCACAAAATAAACTCCAATCTATTCAGATTCTAAACAACCAAAAGTCTCCTGGAATCAGAATTTCCGCAACCCTGTCTGAAGACAACAGGTATGAAAATGATGTCCTTTCAGACTGAGAGATCATGAGGGCCCCTTCCAAACTGGACCAGCATTAGAAAGGAAGACGTCAGATTTTTCTATCCCAACTCTGCCTGTTCACCAGCCATGCAACATTAGATACATCTGTTTCCCCAGGAAAATGAAATGTTTGCTCAGACTGGCTCTTGTTATGTGAAAAGATTGATAAATGGTAGAGCACTATATTAAAAAAAAGTACTGTTTTGTTAAAAATACAACACTCAGACTTTCTTCACTGGTGGGTGTCCTGAATCACTTTACTCCTTTGAAAATTGCTAATTTCTACTTAGCATGGCGAATTCAGCTGAGCGAAAGTGTGCTGAGTTCCTTGTACGGTGGAAAATAACAAAGACAAGACACAGCCCTTATACAGAGAACCATTATGACAGGCAGGGGCTGTACGAAAAGTGGAAACACCTATCTGCACCTGGAAGTGAAACAGCAGCCACCGCTGGCTGAAGGTCGTCTCAGCGGGGTGCGGTGCCAGGCAGACACGGGGTCCCCACGAGCCCCTGAGGCCCACAGACACTTAGCAGCAGAGGCTGAGAGGCGGGAGCTACTCACAGCTTTTCCTCGACCTGGTGCTTGTGCTTGCTTCGCTGTGGTGGCTGCAGGTGCCCAGCCTCCCCATTGACTGGTGGGTGACGCTTTCTTTGATCTTTCCACTTCCGTTCTGATATCACTTCCCCAGTTCTTTCCGCAATTAGGAAAGGGCTAATGATGGCAATAAATCTCTTCAAAAACTCAGAGTGGTTCTGCTTTCCTGGCTGAATCCTGACAGATACGCCACAAAATAACCTTGGAATGACAGTGCTAACAGGCCGGTATGGTTGCCAGGCAGACTGCGGGACACCCAGGAGCATCTGAATTCAGAGAAATAGCCAGCAATTTTTTAGCATAAGTCTGTGCCCAGTATGGAATGGGATATACTTATACTAAAAAACAAAACAAAAAACTGTTGTTTC